CGCACCGAGGCGGTCGCTGCCGCGCGGGAATGCCCAACACGACATATCTGCCCACGTAAATGATCCTTCCGCGTCTGCCGACACCTGGCCAGAACCGCGGGCTCCCCGGCCAACACGTGGGCAGAGACACTCAGCCCTGGCTCCAAGTGGCTCTGTGAGCACGCTGTGGGGCGTGGAGCCTGCCTTTTCTTCTTGGCTCTGGGGGTCCCCAGAATGCCCCCTCTGGCCACATTTATGGGGAGCACAAGCCCTGGGCACAGGAGGAGTGTGGGTGGGAGGTGACCACTCGGTCCAGGTGGAGAGGACTGAAGGTGGGGAGGGAGCCCCTTCCCTGGCTCCCTCTCCCCAAAAGTAGTGAACAGGCATGAGCCTTGAGGCTGGGGGAGATGAGAACCTCGGGGCAGCCATGGGCTCCCGTTCGTGAGCGGGCAGCATCCCAGCCAGCTCCCTGCACTGCCAGGGAATGCGGAGGCAGCGGGACTGCCCAGAGGCTGACTCACTTGGAATTGAACAGCTGGCTGCTGCTCCCTGAGCATTTTCTCTGAAAGGCCTTGGGTCTAGATCCATTGCAGGCTCCCAGTCCTGCTGCCGAAGGCAATGCCTCTGCCACAGGGGCCCCTAGTGGCCACACCTGCAGAGGGCAGGAAGCATGTCGGTCATGGACCTGAGGCCACTCAGCATGGATCGGACAGCCTGGAGCTCAGAGGGAGGGACCCCCTTCCAATACACACCCCTCCTTCACCCCTGTTCAGGACTGAAAGTGCATTCTGGGAAGGGGGTCCAATGCCAGAGATGTGTGGGAGCTCTCAGGGATAAAGGTTGTTCTGGAAGGAATTGGGAGGCCAGGTGTGGAGCCTCACCTGGGAGGACCAAGGAGACCCTGGCACCTGTTTCATCTGTGCGGTCTCGGTCACGCCTGGGCATTGCCATGAAGGCTTAGTGGCCCCGGTCTAGAAGGGTGCTAGAGAATGGTGTGGCTGTCTGCAGCGGAGCTCAGGCGCAGAGCCTGAGGCCCGAGTAGAAGCTTGTCTTAGGCAACCACAGAGAATCAGGAACCACATGAAGACAGGAGAGGAAGTGACCCAGCCCTCAGGACTCGCCCTCTGCCTGCCCAGAAAGACTGCACTGTGGGCTGGGCTGCAGCAGGCCTTTGGTGGCAGGCCAAGACAGCCATCCACCCTCGTGGATCATCGACAGTTCTGCTAAAGACTGTGGGCCATTCTGGCAGCGGGGACAGTTACAGAGGGCTGGCCAGCCTACCCAGATCTCCACCACCCTCCTCGCCACTCACCCCGCCCCCGCAGGGCCACCCAAGTCCCTACCGCAGGGCAGGAATTCCTGCTCAAGAGCAACCGAAGCCCCTCGTGTGCCCCCATTTCGGTTCATCTTCCACTGAGAGACCAGATGAGCACCATGTGATCTGAGGGTCTCTGACATCTGCCCTCGGAAGGAGATCTCCGGAGGCGGGTGTGGACTCTGGTGTATCCGAGGCAAGCGTCCTCCCACTCCCGCACATGGTCATCTCCTCGCCGGAGCTCAGTTCTCCGGCTGGGAAGAGCACGGCTGCCCTTCATGTAAAAGCAACAAATCAGAAGAAGCCTTTTCCTCACCTCCTAGGGAGGCAGCATTGGGGTCCTGAGCCCTGGCAGGCGTGAGGCTCCTGGGCTTTCTCTCCTGCTCACTAGCCAGGAGGGCTTCAGGATAAAGGTGGGTGGGACGGCCTTCTGCATGGGCCTCTCAGCAACAGGAGTTCCGGGCCAGAGGGTGCCCCACCCTCTGGGAGACACAGGTCCTGGGTGGACTCGTAGGAGGCGTCTCTGCCCGGCAGAGGGAAGACTCGGGGCAGGGAGGTGTGGGCATGGGCACATTATAGCGAGGGGCGCATGGAGGCCCAGGAAGGGGCCCCGATAGCTGCAGCTGCCAGCAGGGGGAGCACGGGATGTCTGGCAGTGGGCATGGAGGCCACCTGCCGGGTTTGCAGGAAAGCAGTTTCTGGTATTAGGTAGAAATTTAGACTAGATGACCCTAGCCTCCACCCTCTTTAGGGCTTCACTTCAGTCGTTTTTTAAAATTGCCAATGAGTGCGTGAGTGCATGCATTCTCCACAGAGACAGTGCAATCCCTTCCCGATTCCTCCGCCCTGTCGGGATTCTGAGCGTACATACACACAAGCCCAGTGTGTTTTTCTAGCTAGGGATTCGAACCAAGTCAGTCATGTAGTATATAGCTCCCTTAACCAGTAGGGTACAGGGCTGGCCCCAGTGATTCTGTAAATAAGATGGGTGGGCTGGGATCATTTATTTGTAAGCAGACATTAAACCCCTCAACATCCCTGACACCATGCTTCATGGTCAAAGACACAGCCCCTGGCCAAAGGCGTCCACAGGCCAGTGAGAAGCGAGAGATTGATTTTCAGTACAGTGACCAGTGCTGTGAGACAGAGGCACCGCGCAGACACCACTGGGGGTTCCCCATGGGCAGTCTCCCGTTTTGCAGCAGTGAGAACCATAAATCTGCACGGAAATAAGTGGCCCAGAATAAAGACTGCATCTCCAAGTTCCCTCGCAAGCCTTTCTCTGAACCCTTCCACTTCCGGCTGGCTGGAACGTGCAGCTGATGGCTGGAACCGGAGCAGCCGTCTCCGACTGTGTGTTACAAGTGGCAAAGCACAAGGCAGGAGCCTGGGTCTCTGGTGATGGCAGAGCTGCCACCGCGGCTGTGGCCCACCTCATCTAAGTTACTGCTACTTAGGGTTTTCCACACTCTCAGCTAAACCTAAAACGGCCTCAAAAAGAAGCCACTTGTTAGCACTACTAACCATGGCCAAGATGGCACATTGTATATGTTTTCCACCACAATTTTTAAAAAGCTTTAAGAAGCCAAATGTAAAATTCAGAGACAGAAAGTAGAATGGTGGCTGCACAGAGAGGAAGATAGGGAGGTGCCGTTCAATGGCTGCAGTGTCAGTCTTGCAAGATGAAAGTTACGTATATTTTAGAGAGGTTTTTGTTATAGGACACGTGCCCTATAACAAAGACAGAGAGACAGAAAGTGAGAAATCACCCCCAGAAGGACGGCCATGCCACAATCCCGTCATTCTCCTCTCGGGATCTTAGGCACACAGGCACGCACATGTGTCCAAGAGTGAGTTTAAGCCACCGGGTCCGGGACTCGCACCACAGTCGACTACATGGGAGTCCAGTGACATAGCCATTATGCCAACTGCTGGTCCTATTACCACAATATTTTTAAGAAGCACAAAGAATCAGAAACAGCAGCCCAAATGCAAGGAAACTGTGGGGTGGTTTCACGGACGCATACATCCGTCAGAACTCACCAAACAGCACATAAAATGGGGAATGTTCACTGGGTGTAAAGTCCACCCCACTGAAGAGCTGTGGGAACCCTGCATATATAGGACTCCCTGACCAGGCTGAATGGCCCCTAGCATCGTCGAGTAAGAACATGAAAAGTAGACTGTGTTATTTTGTAAGTTGATTACAAAGTAATTTTGTTAAGATTTATTTCATTTTATTTATTTGTTTTTGGAGAGGATTTTGCTATAGTGTGTGCTTGCTAGAAAGACAGAGACAGACAGACAGAAAATGAGAAATCACCCCCCAGGGGGGATGGCCATGCCACAATCCCTTCTCCTCCATTCTCCTCTCGGGATCTTGGGCACGCACGCACACGTACCCAGCGTGAGTTTTAAGTCACTGGGCCCAGGACTCCAACCATGGTCGACTACATGGGAGTCCAGTGACATAGTCATTATGCCATCTGCTGGTCCCTAATTTTATTTATTATTATTATGTTTTAATTTGCTACAAGGCACATGTGCTCACCAGAAAGAGAGAGGGAAAGTGAGAAAGCAAGCCATCAGGGTCAGGACTCAAACTGCGGTCAGCCATGTGGGAGTCCAGTCTCCTAACCATCATGTAACCTGCTGGTCCCAGATTACAAAGAAATTTTTATTTTCTTTCCTTTTTCTTTGTTTCTTTTATTTATTTTATTGTTGTTATAGGATACATGTGCTCACTGGAGACAGAGAGAGGGAAAGTGAGAAATCATAATCCCCTCCAGGGGGATGGCCACACAGCAATCCCTTCTCCTCCACTCTCCTCTCAGCACTTTGGGCATGCATGCACACACACCAGAGTGTTTTTCCAGCCCCTGGGTCTGGGACTTGAACCACACAGTAGGTCACATGGGATCTAGCTCCTCGAACCACCAGACCACGGGCTAGCCCTATGATTTCTTTTTTATCCTGTAAAACTCGGTAACGAGATCAGAGCAATGGCCAATATGGACAAGGTCCTGCCCCCAGGAACCTCTCATCTGAGTGAGAGACAGACATTAGGCAAGTGAAGCAGTAAATACGTCAGCTCACCGCGGATTTTGGTGACGCACATGCAGAAGTCAGTGAGGAATGATGGGTGACACCTGAGCAAAGAGGACCAAGGCGAACCTAAGCAGCTAACCTTTGAGCTGAGACCCTTAAACTGAGAAAGAGCTGGCCATCTGAAGAGCTGCTTCCTAAGAGGCGCACGGGGCAGCAGGAACGGTAGGGTGCATTGAAGGTGTCCGGACAACAACTGGCCCGAGAGGGTATTACAGAGCTGTGCAAGGGACCAGCTGGTGGCCCAGCAGTGAAACACGACATCCTGTGAGGCAACCCCACATGGGAAGGTTTCCGGTTCAAGTCTGGAGATCTACCTGAGAATGCTGGGCATATGCCCATGATCCAGGGCTGGATGAAGGTCAGGGGTGGGTCTCAGCATTCAGACAGACCCTGGGGATGCCATCTGTCTGTCTGTCTGACTGACTCGTGG